AACGAACTCGAATCTTGTAGAACAGTGATTCTCAAGCCGGTACGCGGGGAACCCCAGACGGTCCACAATTTTGCTCCCTCCCAATTCCCTGAGAGTTAGGAGGGAGCAAAAAGGACAGAGCACAGTTCCTCAGCTATGTAGCCATGCACCCCCCGACCCCCCCGGGAATTTGCACCTAGCTGGGTAGTAAAACAGCGAGTTTTAACCCCCCTCGAAATTCATTTCTGGACACAGGTCTGCTCGTCACATGGAGAATTTCGGAATTCGAAACTGGCCTTTTATTTTGTGATATGAATGGATAAGCAGCTTGACGAAACATTAAAATATATATTTTGCCCTCATAACAAAACGGATCACTGCTCCCAGTCTTGCTGTCACTCAGAGCAAACGCTGGGGGGGGGGCACCCTCCTCAAAAAAGTCACGTTTCACTCTTTCTCTTTACTTATGACTCTCGTCTCCATGGCTGCAGGATTTTCTTCAACAGCAGGCAGTTCTAACACATAATTATTCAGTGCTATGCTGTCATATCTTTAGCTTTAAGTTTTCATGCGAATGCGGTAGATTCCTGTTAAATCATTAGATCAAGATCCATGAAATGTCGGATTATTAATTGTTCTGTGTGCTGGTAGCATCTGAATCATCCTCATAAATCCAAGAAGGTTATACTCTATGTTGCCGAAAAGATTAGACAAACTGGCTTCATCATACTCGCCTGTATTGTTAATTAGGAGTCTTCGTCACAGAGGCCGGGCTGCAATGAGCAGGTGTTAGCCATTTTAACTCAATAACATGCTCTGTGAGCGCCTGGCTATTTTTCACACCGCAGAACTGATTTCCCCGGTACCTTTGTCTCATACATGAAATTACACATCAGTCATTCTTCATTATAGTAATTGTGTCTTTGGCACCATTACATGCTGCCACAATGGCCAAATTGCTCTCCTCACCAATGGGCTCAAATGACATTAAGCCATTTTGACTACATCACTCAACGTTTTATTTGCCACATACAGTTAAACTCAGCTAGATATACAGAGCTATACCTAGCTTCAGGACTGTGATAAAACATAAATAGTAATAGTGATATTTATGGTAAAATCATAAATAGCTGTAGTGTGCTGTTTGCAGTAGAGTGACAGGGAAAAAATATAATAAGTCAGTTTTTTATGTTGGTCTGCTGAACATGTATAGATTTAGCAAGAACATTAGAACATGGGGGGGGTTGAAGTCTACGCCCATTTAGGCGGTTCAGGGATTTCTATTGGATGGTTTTGATAATTTACACCCATGCACTCACTGACACACAGACTCCATTTGTGCGTTTCATTATTAGTTATAAACAATCGCAAGGCAAAAAAGTCCAAAAACTCACCGCAGGGTAAGTCGGATAATCATTAATTTATTCATGTATTCATATTAATTTATGAATATGCAATTTCACCTTATTGTGGCAGTGAAACGCAGCTAAATATTTTGATTGTCCCGTCTGAACACTTCGTTCGCATCTTACTCGATGCCTCCCGCTTGTTTCGTGGAGCTGAAAACGTCGTTTCGTCACTCCGGTATCACTCAACCTTAATTTGGTTCGTCATTAGAAGTGCGGCGCCCTGCCCACACTGAACCACCGAGGCCAGTCGGCATGTTCTCCGCTCCCTTCCTTCCATGGGCCGTCCACAGTGCTGACGTCTGTTGGATCTGTTCCGGCAGTTTGCCTGTTACTGACTGGTGTGGACCCCACACATACTTACGCTGCCGCTGTGCGGTTTATTAAACCACGGAGCGGAGCAGACAGCTCATTATTCCTCATAAAAGAATATTCAATCGGCTTCATATTACCGTTGATGTCTGGGACTGTAAAAAGACCCAGGAACACTTCTTGACTTGATGGCCAGAGCATGTTGTTTATCAAGCCAAATTTGCCAATTTCATGTCAGGCCTTTGAGTGGACAGTATAGTCACACACACACACACATTTGTCCATGTGGTCAGCACACACACACAGTCCATGTGTTCATATCTTTGCCGAGATTCTCCATTGATTTTTATGGCCATTACCCTGCTCCTTACTACAGTATGACGACCTTAATTTTATTTTATTTTTATTTTATTTTTTCAATTAATTCGCAGATTTTTTTTTTTTTTTTTACATAAAGCCAAGGTTTCCCTGGGGTAGCATGGTGGTGCAGTGATTAGCACTGTTGCCTCACACCTCTGGGACCCGGGTTCGAGTCTCCACCTGGGTTACACGTGTGTGGATTTTGCATGTTCTCCTCCTCCAGGTACTCCGGTTTTCCCCCACAGTCCAAATACATGCTGAGGCTAATTGGAGTTACTAAATTGCCCATAGGTGTGAGTGAATGGTGTGTGAGTGTGCCCTGCGATGCCTCATGCCTATAGCTTTCAGGATAGGCTCCGGGATCCCCCGCAACCCAAAAGGATAAGTGGGTTGGAAAATGGATGGGTGGATGGATGGATGGAAAGCTGAGTTTTCCCTTTTGGGAACTGGAAAAATGTCCCAAGGTCTTCGATACATTGTGTGGATGTTGGATCCCCATAATGTAATATACAGTACCAGTCAAAACACACCTGTCTTTTTAAACTATGTTATTCACCTTCAGGGGCGCCGTAAGGGGGAGGAAAGCTAGGACGATTCCAAGGGCCCCTGAGTGACAGGGGCCCTAAAAAATTAGGAAAATAACTGGATTGGTTTGGACTGGGGGGCCTAATATGATATGCTTTCATGGGGCCCAAAATCTCTAGCAACGCCCCTGTTCACCTTATAGTAAAAGGCTGTGAGAGAATGAAATAATACATATCAAATATGGTAACCAGAGAAGTGCTCAACATCTGAAAATTTGCTCAGATTTGATCCTCTTCAAAATAATCCCCTTTTTCTTCAATAACATCATTGCAGACTTCTGGCATTCATCTGGAATTCCTCTCCAACTGTCCCGAAGGAGTTTCCACTAGTCCTGGTCTCAAGTTGCCTACCTTGCTCTTACTCTTTGATCCAGCTCATCCCAAACTAGCTCTGGAGGGTTTGGGTCGGGGGATTGTGGGGGCCAGGTCACCTGTCACAGCGCTCCATCTCTTTCCTTGTTCACAAGATAATTTACTTTACAAGGTTTGCTACATAACCTTGAGGTGGCCTTAGGGTCCTTATCTTGTTGGAAAACACATGATGCTCTGTAAGTGTCCATCGTTTGACTGGTACTGTATACAAAACCACTGGCCATGTGGTCAGCACACACTCTGACTGTGTGGTCAGTCTCAGCCTCGGGGACACCTCCACCCCACACGGGCAGGGCTGGAGCCCCATGCCTGCACAAACCCCCCACCCCCCAACTTGTGTGCTGGGTTTCCCTTGTCACTGCCTGTACTCCTTGCTGACCGCCCAGTGACAGTCACAGAAATGCGCTTTTCCATAACAGCAGCGGCTGGACTCTCAACTGTAACAAGGAGAGCCTCAGTAAACATGCTAGTGCGGGCCATGCATGGAAATGTAAACAGGAGCACGTCGCGTGCATGATAAATGACCCGAGGTCGCGGTCGCGTGTACGGCTTGTTAAGGGGCATCAGAGCCGGTCGCAGTGAGGTGTAATTCCCACTTATTCTCACTAATTCCTGCCCGTGTTTCTGCTAGCATGCAGAGCAGCCGTTACCATGGAGCCGCTCCTGGGCCAATCAATCGCGTGTCCTGGTAACCAATCGACAGCACGGTTTGCCCCTTCCGATCACCCCATGACGCGTGTCCATGTGACCGCGGGTCTGCTAGGTCGGACCCAGTATCCCGGCGGCGATGCTGCACTGGTCCCAGTGGCTTTGCGAAGGGAAGAGGTTTCTCATCTGCTTGGGACTTCAAGAGGGTCCTGCGCTTGTTATAACTGCAGTTTTGTAGGTGTAAAAGCGGGCAATAGCGCCTCTGTCGCCCTACAAATGGCTGCCCCGCACTCCAAACGGTTAAAACGACGGACGAAGGTAAATCTATAAATAAATGCTCCCCTTCTCAGTCCTAACCCTCCACCAACTTCTCCATCCTCTCCCCCACCTCTGCTCCACGTCCATCATCCCACAGCTCAGAGTCTATTAACTTGGTGACTTTTCCAGAGAGATCACTCACAAAGTGAAACGGCAGTTTTACCATAGGCACTTAAATAAATACGGTCTTTTATGTTGAAATGATTATAAAGTCCATTTTTTAATGTGAAAGGTGCCTGATTTATTCATCTTCATGTTTAAGCATCCTGATTGTGTTTCGTGTTACTGTTTGGGATTCAGTCGTCATTTGAGTTAATTCACTACCTTTTATTGCTAAAAGAAATTTCTGTAAATAAAATGACCTCTTGCTGCAACGGTGAAGGATTTTTAAATTACATAATTATGCATTTATTTTTAAGGACAACATTTTTGGCCCAAACAATTATTTATAAGGAACAGAAATGAAGTTTGTCGTTTAAATAAGGAATTATCTACACAGGAAAGCAAATCAATCATGCTTAATAGCCAGGCCAGTGTTAGGAGGAGATTCATTATGGACCTGGATATAGCGTGTCATGCTTTTACTGATTTGCCAGAAAACAAATGATTAAAGTTAAGTGCAGGTTTAATAAGTTTCTGTATAAATTACCTTCTGAATGCAGAATTGAAATTTCTTTCCTAAACTGCAGACACTGAAATGCAATTAGGAAGTATACTTAGTGAAATTAATACTGTTCAGTGTCCAATATGTCTTATTATTTCAAAATAGGAGAGAACTGCAGTCACTTTGTAGATTATTATATGATTAAATAAAGAAAATGTACAACACGATGAGCCATGCAGAAGTTAAATTTTTACAATTTTTTATAGTAGTAAATGTAAATGTATGGTACTGGTGCCATTCCCTGCATTTAGAGGAACAGGACACAGGAAGTGACACGTTAGCGGCATGTTAACAGGAGCCAGGCCAGCTCTTTTTCTTTTGTTTTTCTTCAACATCTGCTCCCCTCGTTCCTCCCAGGTGCTGCAGAAGCTGGGGAAGGCCGACGAGACGAAGGATGAACAGTTTGAGCAGTGCGTCCTCAACTTCAAGAAGCAGGAGGTGAGGCCGGCCGCGGACCTGTAACCAGATGGTGATTTAAAGCTGCCGGGATCTGGGGCAAGCTGGAGCAGAGGGTGTTTTAAGCTGCCGGGACCTGGGGGAAGCTGGCTTGAGTATTGTCACACGTAAAGCACGTGAGCGCAGCAGAGGGCCGGCTTTGCTGGAGCCGTTTATTAGCAGGTTTTACTATATTTAGCCTCCATGCTGAGCTGTGTGTGCTACATGAATGAGAAAGTGCTAGAAGCAAGGGGGGGGCGTGTGTGGGGAGCAAAGATGAGAGCTTATCAGAGGCTGCAGCAGGGCCTGCTTTGGTTTAACCCCCCGTCGCCTGCATCAGTGAGTTCGGGGGAGGGGCTTTAAGCTGTGAAGTCAAAGAGAGAGAGGTCTGCTGTCAGAAAGGAGCGAAAACCAAAAGATTACACTCATGGGAGTTTTACTTACTCAAAAATGTACTGAGGGCAGAATGAAAAATGATTGGCTTAGAGAGACAACCAATCACATCGTAGAGGAGGTGGGACCAAAATATCTGATTGGTTGGTCTGACATCTGACCGAGATCTTTTTGGTTATCTCTTTGAATCATTTCCCGTTCTGCCCTCAGAACATTTTTACGTAAGTAAACCTCCCATGAGCAAAGATTACACTGAAAGCGTGGGGATATAAATGAGAGAGAGATGTTCTTGCTCCTGCTTTGTCCTCCCTGCAGGATCTGTGAGCTGTAGAATGAGGTATGAGAATGAGGTCCACGCACGATTTCCGTGTACCAACTCACACTGAAGCTACATCTGTAGTTAACCATGGCGTGAGCTAAAGCTCAGTCCCCACACGCAGAAAGCTATACAACATCACTTCAGCCTCCCGGTATGCTGGACACTTCCTGTTTTCTGCTGAATGACAAGGGGGCATTCACAACAGCGGCGATCATTAGGGAATGGGTGCTGGCAGCCCAGCCCTCTGTGAACCCCCCCCCCCCCCCCGGCTTCGCAGCCATTACTGTAATCAATGTGTTTCCATCTCCAAAAGGCGCATATAAAGATAGAGGCCGAGATCCACTGGGGAGTAACAAAAAAACCCTGAAGCGATAAATGCCCCCGCCGCTCTCTTCTTGGTATGCACTTATTAATGCTTTCATTTTCTTACGCCCCAAATAGCATCTTTGGTGCCGCAGTAATTTAGGCTGCAGTCTGGTCTGGAATAATCTTTGCCAGGGTCTGTGAATCGCCCCCACAGCAGAGTGTCTCAGAGGATTGTGGGAAACTCCTGCCAAACCATCTGGCCCCAGAGCAACATTCTGTGTGACGGTGTGATGCCATCGCTTTTTGAGTTAAACTTTGAGAAATCTTTTGTGAAAAGTGTAGCCAGAGCCCTCAGTTTCGGGGAGTGCTTCTCTTAAGGTGTGTGTTGCTGTGTCTATAGATGATGGGATCTGTTACATGGGTTTTCCCATGTGAGCTTGTAAGAGCTGCTATATTCCAGTAAAAAGCTTTCAACTAGAGTTGGGAAACCCGTCCACTGTTTTCCTGCCTCCCCATTGTTCCGCCTTGCAAACCAAATTGTTTTATGGTCACCTGACATGCCTCACAGCCTCATCATTCTGTCCCACAATTGGTTTGACATATCAGGTCAGCAGCATTACCGGGTGATGTGATTGGACGATAGAGGTGCAGGCAGAAAGGACTGGATTAAACCTATAACTAGTCACGGTAATTGGTAGACTTTTGTCCCTTAGCTGTTTATACATCGTAACACCACAGGTTAAAACAACTGAACGTTAAGCATGTTTCTATTCTATAAAATGAACCAAAAAAAAAAAAAATCACCCCTTTTTTCATGTGAAATGGGCTTTTGATATTTTATTTTAAGATCAGGCCCACATTTCATATATAAATATAGAAACATATGCATGAATTCATGGCTAATATCTTGCAGGCAGCCTTGGTAATGTGAATTAATGCACACATTAGTCATTAGAGTAATATTCCCAGTGTTTGCCTGAGCATTTTGGAGATGTGTGTTAGTCGTACACAGATCTGGCCACAGATCCCTTTGTTGATGTTCTCACAGCTCAGACGGGGGCTGTCTCACGGTGATGACATCATGCACGGCGTCACAGAGAAGGCGCCCTATAACGAGATCATTTAAGATTTGTATTCTAAATAAAATCTGATGCTGATATCACTGAGGTTCCCCATGTCCTCCTGGATGCTGGATGTGGTCTGCACCACCTCTGCTAACTTTCGCCTTTCTCTCCCCACAGACCGAGGGGTTCCGGCTGCAGAGGGAAATGAAGGCATACCTGGCTGCAGTGAAAGGTCAGCTGGAGTGAAACACGCACACGCACGGGCGCAGGGCTGCGATAACACACTTACCTTACCTGTTAGGGCTTCTCTGGTTCATATCCTAGCTGTAGTCATGCACAGACTCTGTCTGGTGTGGCCTGGTTTAAAGATTTCGTCTGCATCTAACGGCGACAGGTCATTGGGGCTCCTAATGGGGTTAAACTGAGTCCCTTAACTGTCCAGATCTTTGACAAGCCGCATTGTTGACAAGTGACCAGTAAGGTCATTTAGGGCAGCCGTGAATCTGAGAGAAACAGAATGATCAGCTTTAACTGCCATTTATCCATTCCTTAAGGATAATCCAGGGCAGGTTAATAATGACATTCAGTAATATCTAGGGCCATGTCACACTTAAACTAGTGATACCACCAGCGTTTCCAAACAGGACTCCATTTCCTGTCATGTGACTCTGTAGCAGAGACTTCAGCATAAATATTGTTGCTGTCCGATGAAAAACGTATCTCCAAAAATCAATTATTTCAGGAATGTGAAAAAACGCATTTTCTCAGAAATTTCTTTACAGAATAAATCTAAAACAATGTAATGAGACACACTTAGCACCACAGATAGAAACCTATTTTTACAGAGCCATCAGTGAATGCTTTAATTGGTGAATTGGTGTTAGCGAGGCAAATATGTTGGCGTCAACAAGATACAAACCAATCTCACCTTATATTCACAATTAACAATGATATTAGTTTGCTAGTTATCTAGCTATCGACGGTAACTTAAAAATAGCAATGTAAAGTAATCCATATAAATGACCCTCATGAATGCAAATGTTAACTGGTAAAGTGATAAATGCTAGTTAGATAGATGACTTTTCATAAAACATCTTTTCAAGAGTCAACTAGATATCGAAAGCTATCAGTAGACAGAGGAGAATGGGTCTAACTCTATTCCATCTATAGTAAAAAGTCACAATAGTCAGAAAGTGGACATATGTGGTTTTCATTGGACAGCGACAACATATTGTTTAGTTCCCATCACTGACGGCTTTGTTTAGGATGTGACCAGGTGCCACATGACCAGGGGATGTGTTCTGCACCCTTTTCCTTGCTGTGTAATGTGGCCTCGCTCACTGATCTGGGAGGCTGCCAAGGCTGCAGTCTGGCTCAGCACTACCCCCGCCCCCGCAGACCACATACAAAGCAGCCGGACAGGGCCCTGAGTGACTGGCTGTCAGACCGCACTAACAGATGGCTTATCTGGCCCCTCCCCCATCCACCCAGCTTCCCCTCCCCCCAGCAGCGCCTAGGTAGCCACAGTATGCGGCTGCTGACTCTGAGGTGACATCATTGGCCTCCACCAGACCTGGAATTCTTTGTTACCCAGGGATCTAACAGGCAGCCTGACCTTAAATATGACAGTATCAGTATACACATAGATATGTGTTTTATCAGAACATGGATACAGCTCGGATTATTTACATTTACTTATTTGGCAGAAGCTTTTATCCAAAGCAACATACAATTTTGAGAAACCAGGGTCAGTCAGTCTGTGGGGAAATTGGGATTAAGGGCCTTGATCAGGGGCCCCACAGTGTAACCACTCAGTTGACTCCAGGACTTGAACTGACAACCTTCTGATCATGGACACAGCATTCTAACCACCAGCTTAGAGCCTAATGTTAAAAGGCACGGCTTTCATTTTGTGCGAGACAGCATTAGCGCAGTGCCCTGGTGATGGTGTTTCAGCCTCACTGGGTCACTGGACGTCACCTTCTGCTAGAGAATGGACAAACTGCAAAGGCACAGTGAACAGGCAGATGCCCTTGGGGCTGCGTTGCTGCAGTCTTAGCAAACATTTAGTTATAGCTGCATTCGGCATGCAGTTAGAAATGCCGATTAAACAGAAAACCCGGAACTGACCGAGAAGGACTATTGCTATTGGCTAATGGCCTCGGGGTATTTCGGAAGGACGCAGACAGGCTAACGGCTAATGGCTAACGGCTGTGGGGTGTTCCTGGAGAATGCAGGCCTGCTAGCGACTAATAGCTAACAGCCACAGGATGTTTCCAAAGGATGCAGACATGCTAGTGGCTAACGGCAGTGGGGTATGTCCAGAGGACTCAAGTGTGCTAGGGGCTAATGGCTAACAGCCACAAGATGTTCCTGGAGGATACAGACGTGCTAACGGCTAATGGCTTATCACTGTGGGGTGTTTCTGGAGGACACATGTGCACTAACAACTAATGGTTAATGGCTGCAGCGTATGTGTGGAGGACACAGGTAGACTAACAGCTAATGGTTAAAGGCTGTGGGGTATTTCCTGGAAAATGCAGATGTGCTAATGCCCAATGTGGTTCTGGCAGGAATGCAGCAGGCCTCCATGAACCTGACAGAGTCATTGCATGAGGTCTACGAGCCAGACTGGCATGGCAAGGACGACGTCATGACCATCGGGAAGGTGAGCGTCGCATCCAGATTCTTCCGTCCACTACCCGTCACTAATTTAAGTGGAAAATTCCATCACTGAAGAGTCGCCCTTTTACAGACTGTGGCAAAATCAAAACTCTTGGCCAGATTAATTAGCTGATGCCCATGTGGACTCTCACAGGCCACATCCAGTGACGTCTGTTAAATAGGCGCCCGACTGCAGCTTTGAAATGCTGGGGGGGGGGAAGGGGGGAACAGGTTTATCTAAAGGGCCTGGGGGGGATGTGACTCCTTTTAGTATTGAATGTATGGGCCTTTGCTGAAAAGGGGCCTCAGAAAGTACCCCCAGATGATCATTTTTATTGTTGCCACAGGTGAACCTGGTTTGATTTCTGCGTTCTTAATCAGTGCTCTGATGCTAAATTACCCCCAGAGCAGCTCTAGTGTGTGCTACTGTGCCTTCCTCTCTGTGTTGGGTTCCATCTTTTGGATGAAAATCCGCCCACGTTTGGCACTTAGCATTTTGTTTAATGTCGTTGTATAAACAGCAACATGATTGAATTGAATTGAGACTCTCTGTTGCCTTGAGTCAGAGACAAATTGAGTGGCTAGGAACTTCACTTCTGCGGGAGGAAAGAAAAAAAATCATTGAGATTACCCACAATGCCCTTGTGGAAATCCATATAAAGCCTCGTCTCATTGGTGTCCTGCATGGAAGCAGTCGCAAAACACGTTGCGCTGGAAATGGCAAATCCTCTGCAGTGGTGTTTACTACCAGGCATTTGTGTGGGACCTGTGAGGTTTGGGGGCCTCCTGTTGGCCACAAACAGAATATGCACTGTGGGGGGGGGGACTTATTGAGTGGGGAACGAGAAAGAACAAATTCACACCTGCAGGAAGGGCAGAAAACTCCCAGTACAGTTATCATTGGTAGCAACTGGTGTTATCCAGTGAGGTCCTATCAGTTCATGTTAATACGAGAACATCTCTTGGTGATATGGCCATTTCAGCCATTTCACGTCCATAGGGGCAGTTTCCATGATTCTTATGAGAAGCACGTGCCACATCTCTTAAGGATTGTCCAGCTCTTTGTAGTCCTGGACAGTGATGCGTTTAGGATTTCTCTGTGAGTGAATACATGTTCTGTGGCCACATGTCTAACTCCTGCTGTGCTCTCTGAACCTCACAGAACTGTGACGCCCTCTGGGAGGATTTCCACCAGAAGCTGGTGGACTCGTCGCTCATCACCTTGGACACGTACCTCGCCCAATTCCCTGACATCAAAGTACGTTGCCATTGGCCTTATTTAGAGCCACACCCTCCTCGTGTCCCACCTCTCACCTGCCCGCATCAGTGTAGCATTAAAAATTAAATAAGGGAATGGGTCCGTCTCTATAGTTGTTGGTCATTGACAGATGCTGGATTCATGCTGAGAGAAGTGTAACTGAACATCAGGTCATTTTGCTGGATTAACGAGGCCCCCAGTTAGGGACCCCCAGTTACATCACTATGGAAACCGTGATGCAGTCTTTGTCTGCTCTGCTGATGTGGGTGCTCTACCTGTCGATATGTTGCAGAACCGCGTGGCGAAGAGGAGCAGGAAGCTGATAGATTACGACAGCGCACGGCATTATGTAGAATCCCTACAGGCGTCTGCCATCAGGAACGAGCGCAAGGTGTCCAAGGTGAGGAGCACTCTCTGAGCACATCTCTAAGGATGTGTACGTGACCATACTTGCCTTCTCGTGTACCCATTTTATGTCATCTTCCATTGCCGAAGACCAGTTCCAATACTACAGTAAGAACAGAAGCAGGGAAGATGGTGAAAACCCCCAAATGTCATTCTTGCACCAAATATCAAGGATACATCGGTTGCATCCTCACCATAAACGAGACCAATCCCATGATTCATTGCACCCCAAGTTTGTTCTTGGGAGGCAAGTTAGCAAGACCGGTCGTGCGAAGACCACAAGTGTGATCTTTGTGTTCTTGGTTTTGAGACACACCCTCCGTGTTCGATCCCTGTGTTTCTGCATGATTATGAGACTTTTATAAACAGCCCCGCAGAGGGAGCTCTGCTCCACCGTGAAGCTTCAAGCCCTGTGTGATGTCTGTCGTCTTTCAGGCGGAAGAGGAGTTCCAGAAGGCGCAGAAGGTCTTCGACGAGCTCAACGTGGACCTGCAGGAGGAGCTGCCCTCGCTGTGGGACAGGTAGGAGGACCAGCATGCACTGCAGCAGAGTGGGCGCCTCACTCTCTTCATATGTTGGGGTTAGGGTTAGGGTTAGGGTTAGGGTTACGACACAGCATTGGGTTTCTCAGCTTGCTTTGCACGTTCACCCTGACTGGTGAACTTTCTCAGTCTAAGGTGTGGGTCGCCCTCTGGTGAGCTTGATTAGGTTCTCTACTGGGGCAGCCAGTCGTCGGCACAAATACCACAAGCTTTACATCAGGATAACATTGAGTACAGTAACATGAGGTACAGAAACAGCTGCTGGCTAGATGCTCTCCAGGATTGGAGATTTAAGGTCAAGCTTGAGGGGGACCCCCTCCCTATGGGGCAGGAAGGCAATATCCCCCTTGTTATTATAGTTTTGCCTCTTCCAGTACCCCACGACTCCAGCTGTGGTACCCCTTATAAACCAAGAGCTTTTTCTGAGGAGCCCAACATCTGAAGTCATCTCAGTCCTGTCCCATGATCGCAATATCCCCAAGCACCTCGGTCTACATCTGCACAGCAAACGATCCCTTGGGCTCTGATGTTGCACTAACATCTCATTCTATTCTCTGTATTTTATGAGCCGTTAGGCTCTCATGCTGAGTGACTGCGGGGTTATAGCCTCACTTGGTATTATATTTAGAATGTTAACTTGTCATTTTAAGCACTGCTTTAATTTATGCTGTAGTAATATTCCACACATTAGATCTGGAAATCCAACGCCGCCGTAGAGTCAGTGTTTGATCTGGCCGTCTGAGTGGATTCCTGCGTGGCTGTCATGAACGTATGTGCTTTATGTCACGGTGTCCCTGTTTATGAACACACTGCACCATTCCCTTGCAGCCGAGTGGGTTTCTACGTCAACACGTTCAAGAACGTCACAAATCTGGAGTCCAAGTTCCACAGAGAGATATCGATGGTGAGTAGAGAGACCACAGATTTGGGGATAGTTATATTTGTGATGATTTGTGAGGTGGAATAAGCCCTATCAACTCAACACAATGCTAATTTTAGCAGATTCGGTCTAAGTTACCAGACAGGTTATGCTTTGTGTGGCAAATTAGACCTCTTTTCACGCTTGTCTACGAACAACAGAGCACGGTGGTCGATCTGGAGTTAGGCATCACTGGAGTCTCAGCTTTGCGGTTGCTTGACCAAAATAGAACCAGGAACGGAAGAATCGGTTGGTCTGTAAGCTGCATCATATGTCTACCTTTGAGCATGAACTAGTTGGAAACATAAACGAGCCAGATTCACCCTTGGAAACAAATGAGCAGGTCAGCTTTGCTGAAGGTCGCCTGTTCTGCCTGGCTTTGCCAAACCCGTACATGAGGACTTCAGATACTGATCAGATGCTGAGACGACATGGCAGCCACTCCTGCTGGTAGGAACGCCAGCGGCTGTCACGGGGAGGCCGAAAGGCTTTGCTCCCCGCCTCCCTGCCACTTGCCGGGTTATTTTTAGCTCCGCTGGAGGACCGCTGCATAAAAAGCACGGATGTGGAGGAACTAGCTTGCTTAGCATACATTAGCATACGTAGCATCATTAGCATACTTAGCGTACACAGCACCGAATATTCTCCCAGTGTAGAATTCGGATCTAGTTAAATATGCCTAAACACCCCAAGTCCTGTGTGATTTGATTGCAGTAAATGGCTGATTCTACGTACACGATAGCGCAGCTTCAGCGCTGTGGCAGTACGTGCCTCGCAGTGTGCGAACCGCCCCATGTGGTTAGCATCACACGGCTACCTGCATTGCGACAGTGTGCCTGGCGGAGGGTCCCACTGGGGGCAGGTGGCACCACCGGGGGGGGTACAGGACAGCCTGGATGGCTTGATCTATCGTGCTACTCCTCGCTCCCGTCCCAGATACACACTAATTCTGAATCCAGCCATTTCCTGTTTCCTCTTTCTCCCTCTGCTGCCCTCTGTGTGACACATGCTTTCGTTTCGGCCTTCGGAGCTGTTAGAACCGCCGGGCCTTACCGTCTGTGGCCGCCTGCAGCTCCCCGGAGGCGCAGATGTAGCCTGGCTCACACCAGGCCTCACGCCGGGGCTAACATGTGACACGCCAGCATGCCATCTCTCTCTCCTAGCAGCTACGCAGTGTTGCTCCCCTCTGATACGCACGAAGCTACGTGCACGTGAGCATGATGCTAGTTTGTAACTACAGCCAGGAGCTCCATAATGTTCACACATTCCTGTTAATCTTACTGGCAGCATGACATCCATTCAAGACCCCAGTGTACATGTTGGGAGTTTCTGACCAATCACGCGGCTTGAATTCAGCTGGTCATATTGGTATGCATGACCGGCGTCTCCTCATCTTGGGGTCCTGATTTGTTAGTATTGGCTTCTCAGGGACGATTGTGCCTTAAGGTAGTGAAGCAGCAGGTTACTTGTTTATTATGGTTATTTTAGGGAATCACTTTCCTGGAGGGCTAAGGTGTGAAATTGTACAGGAAATAGACACTGATTTGCCTGACAAAAGGGACATCTGTTGTTGAAACAGAGCTAAATCCTAGTCAACGACCATCAGTCGTATCTCATTTGCTGCAAGGGGACGGCACGACCAACTCGGCCTTTATCACCTTTCTACAGCCCGAGCTTCTCTCACACACCACCGTGCGTTTCTACCTGTCTGAAACATCAGACCCGAGGATGTTTTGTTTTCTGCTCGAGAGCTTGACGGCACAGTGCCTAGCGGAGGATTCTGGATGGTTTTCTCTCCTTGGCTTCGACATCTGTTCAGTGGGTCTTGTTTTGCCGTGCAGAGGCTGCTGGTGTGTCCATGTAAAGGGGCACCCGCAGAGAGCGTGGGTCACATGGAGTGCATTAGCCATCTGGAACATTTACCAATAGTGTTTACTGCTTTTGTGCCATATTACTGGCCTGGAGTTAAAATAACCCCCTGCCGTGATGGGTCAGGGCGTAAACTGAAGTGAACAGGGGTAAATTAAGCCACCCATCAATGCCGTGGGCAGAGAGTCACAATTACAAGAAAGGAGGCTGTATTTCCATGGTTACGAGAATCTGCCAGAAGCCTTTCTTGGGAGTCGTTGTAGGTGCTTATGGAGTAGAAGGGATGTTCCACACTGTCCGTGACTCATTAAGTTTAATGGGTTTATCCATCTGTCTGCAGCCAGTGTGACCACTTTGGTCCCCATGTAATAAAATAAACTCGCCCGCCAGGTAGGCAAGTCTCCAATGTTCCCCTGATCATGGAAACCGGGCTGACTAATCAGCCTCAGAGTTTGCTGTAGTGTTACAGTGCAGAGTTGTTTAACCTCATTATCGTGTATGTACGCATATCCCCCACTTGAGGTAGGCTCTTCTCCCAGTACACATTGATCCTGTATTTTGTATTTTATAAGAAGTAGGGCTGTCAAAATTAACACGTTAATCGTCACGACCAATTCAAAACAGCGCATGAAAATAAATTAAGGCAATTCACACGGTTAACGCGATTAATGACGCCATCGCGCAGTGCATTATGTGGCAACTATATAAATCAAATGATTGCAAGAACCACTTGTTTTGTATCTGAAATAAGCTTCCCTTGTGATTATTGTACATTAATTTGGTGATTGATTTTACATTTTAATATGCATTATAAAAAGCTTTAGTCTAAAGAAGAAAAACAAGTTTTTAATTGTGAATAATCATGATTAATTCATTGCAAAATGTGCAATATTTTTTTTTTTTTACTCAATTGACAACCATAACAAGAAGGTATTACATCAAAGTCAAAATATCTTTATTGTTGTCTTCAGCCAAATGATACATGGGTCATACAATGAAATGAAATATTGATCTCATTGATCATAGTCAGGAAACAATAATAAATGTAATATAAATCTGTAAGATATTTAAACATGACATACTGAGACATGGTGCGGTCCAGCGAACTCCCACTGACCTGTGAAAACATGGCTGTCTCCTGTGTCCCCTGTGTCTCCTGTGTCTCCCATGTCCTTGCTGGGATAGCTGTGCCACAAGCTGTACGAGGTGATGACGAAGCTGGGGGAGCAGCATTCGGACAAGATGTTCACCATCCAGGGAGCTCCAAGGTATGATGGGAGCAGATGGGGCGGAGTCACGCTCAGGCTCATAACCCTTATTAAACCCTCCCAGCTTACTGCAGGACACTAATGGGGAGGCCTGTTTGGATGCTTCTCTATACCAAGAATGCAAAGATCGTACTAGTGGTCTTTACAAGACCGATCTCGCTAACTTGCCTTCCAAGAATGAACTTGGGCCGCAATGCATCACGGGATTGGTCATGTTCAGTGAGGATGCAGCCGGTTTGTGGCTGGGCAAGAACGACATTTGGGGGTTTTTACCATCCTCCCTGCTTCTGTTCTTACTATTGGAGCTGGTCTTCGGCAATGGAAGATGAGGTCAAATTAATGCATGAGAACACAAGTACGATCAGATACGGATATTGAGAAACACCCCTTGGTTTGGAGCTGAATGACTTTTGACTTTTGTTATAAGACCTGCAGGTTCTGGGCCCATTTGCACATTAACCACAGATGTAAGGCGCAGCTCTTTCAGAGCTGCTTTGATTTAGTCATTTTGTGAAATACTTATAATCCGATCCCGCTCTGAGCACGATACCTGTCACTGGGTATAGGTGTGACTCTATGAAGTCATCGGGCCCTGGTGTGTTTCACGTGGGATTCAAACCACTCAAGTTACTGTAGAGTGAAAAACATGCTGGCAGGAGATCAAAGAGACCAACGTGCGAGGCGTTCCATTTTTGCAAATCCCACGTCTTCGGCGAATCGCGTGAAGCAGTCAGTTTGTCGCGGGTCTCTTGCGATGCTATGTACTGAAATCTGATGCCTCCTGTTGTCTCCCTTGTGCACGGAGTAGGGCCAAACGGTAAGTTGATGAGCAGAGAGATAGTCCCAGAGCTGTTTTTCAAACAGAACCCTAGCTGATCAAGAATGGAGTCATGGAAATGGAAGCAAATGCTTTCAGTGAAAGGTCTGGAGAGGAAATCGCCCCTTCTGCTGTCTTCCTGTCGAACATTTGGCATTTACCATTTTACAGTTTATCCATTCACTGCAGGACTGTGTTTTTGAAAATGAATTATTTAGGGAATTTGAATGTTTTATAAGCAATTGTCCAATCTGGTCCAGACAGTGTTGTTTATCGAATTTACTGTTTAGTTAGGAAAGGGAACAGATATGGGAATTATCGTTTATAGTTTTATGAGAATGACATATTTCTGTTATTTTATTACCCTCCAGAACTTGGAAGGGTCTCCATCTGTATTTCTCCATGACTGTATCCTTGGGACTTCGGACTGCGAGCTTGCGTGTCTCCTGCCTTCCCGTCCCGCCAGCTCCGTGCAGCCATGTAGATGTAAAACCCACTAGATGGGAGCTCAATAGAAGCTTCTAGAAACAGCCTGCCGCCGGCCCCGTTTTGTGTCTCGTGACTGAATCGCGAGCGCTGTTGATGGCGTGTGAGTGATGTGCCCTGACCTAGCCGGTCGTCTGTGATGACATTAGGGGCGCGTCCAAAATACAGCCCTACAAAAGTCCTAAAAATGCTTTATTTATATCTGAATAACCGTCACAACAGCCGCAAAGACTACAACAATCTTACCTCAGTATGTAAAATATCAATAAAATGGAAACGGGAAACTGACTCTGTTGCAGAAATAGAATCAAATCCTGGTATGCGCACAATTGACCATCTTCATAAAAAAAAGCATTATTATAAATGCTACTTAGTTACCCTCTGTTTTGCTGAATTAGTTAATTATTATTTGGTCATTGTTCATTTCCTTAGTGTTTTGTCCCCTACAGTAAAATCGATGTAATCAATTAAGAAGTTTCACTTCAATTACAAAACAGTTTAATTCAAGTTACTGGATAAATGATGGCTGCAAGAGTTACTCATAATGGCATTAAGAATATAATTTAGAAACTATTAATAAGCATGGACTTCACTTCTACCACAAACATTAGTACAATTGTTAAATATTTATGGGTGTTTTGACTCCTTGTTGCGGTAATGTAGCGGTAAACATACACAGTAAATCCCTTAAACCCACTGTGCTTTTGCTGTCTCTGATGCATCCCATAGTGACTCCGGACCCCTGCGACTCGCCAGGACTCCTTCCCCCCCTGAGGACGAGTCCCCGCCGGGCAGCCCCGAGGTCGCCCCCAACCACTCGTTAAGGCCCACCTCGCCCGGGCCACCCCGGCCCAAGTCGCCCTCGCAGGTGCAGTGCTGCTTACAGCCAACTGGGCCTCATTCTCCATGCCAGAGAATGACCATTGTTAAAGGCCCTCGTCTCTCTGTCCTCTATATTGAGGGAAACTTTGACGTCCTTCACTGTCAGGTCAGGCCTGGATAGTCACCCTATTCATTTCTAAAACACTCGCAGGGATCCACTTGGGGGCTCCTGTCTGAGGGTAGCCATGTGCCCTGTTAGCTTGTGATGCACCATGAGCATGAAGCACCCTAAGCCTGGATGAATGTGGGTGTCAGATACCGATGGCCAAATGAAGCTTCATGAACCATTTGCTGTATTTTCTGTCTCCACTAGATGGTGCTCTCTGTTCAAAAAATGGTCTCAGTACATGCCCCAATGCAAAAAAAGGGCACCACCTAGTGGGGTCAATAAATACAGAAAATGGTTCATGAAGCCTCATTTGGCCTTCACTAGAGTGTCAGGTGTCAATGACTGACTGTGGTTGTGGTTCACAGTTGCAGTTTAGAATGACCCAGATAAGGCAGGGAAGGTTAGTCACATGTTTTCGTAACTGGTGCCTTCATGAGCAGCAGGAATTTGTCAGTAATAAGATAGGAGGTTAATATTAAATAATAAACGATGTGATGAAAAGCGGCACCTCTTGTGGTTTTGTGACTCTGACGGAACACTATCTGGGTCTTTCAGCTTAAAAAGGGCCCCCCGGTGCCACCCCCGCCCAAGGTTACGCCCACCAAGGAACTCCACCAGGAGCAGATAGTCAGCCTCTTCGACAGCAGCTTCACCCCCGAAGCCACACCCTCACAGGTGAGCGCCACCTTCTGGCCAGCGCAAGAATAGCTGAGTCACCCGTGGCACTTGGGTGAAATGACAGCACTTAGTTCCATGCCCCTTTTTATGTAAATAACAGTTAATTAGCTAAAAGATACATTGTTTTCATTGCAATTTTTTCTTGAAAATACTTGCGAATAGCTTCATTTCAATAGTTAAAGTCTTTTTAAGTAATAAACATCGTAACGTCGTAAGTGCTGTCATCCTTTTCTGCAGAGATATGCATGAGTCCACCTGACCCTGTCTTACTAAGACATTTTAAGGAGGGCGTAGATCTAGTACTGTCTCTTTAAACGACATCCGTCATTTCAGCCATGGGGCCCAGTAGACCGAGGACAAGCCGACAGGTGAATTAATTATATATTCTGAAAAGGCAGAGGTGCGAGACTGGCAGGGCGGCCGTGTGTGCGTACGTGAGGCTCCTTCAGATGGACTCGCGTCATCGGATCACATGAGTTCATGAGATTCGTTTGATTCCTGCAGCCGCGGTACAGGCCTCTCTGCCCCCACAAGCCGTGTGTGTCAGCAACGCCACAGATGACATGTGACTTGGGCGAATCACAGCGGGCCTGTAGTTTCGGCGATGGCCCATTTCGCTCTCGGGAAATCACTCCCTTCCCAACCTGCTGCCTCGTAACCAGCGGCATTCCTGCCCGGCAAGGATGGATTACTGCACGGGCCCAGGGGGCCCCGAAGCCCAATCCTCCGCGCTGCCATTTCAGTATTGTTTTTACATATTATGCATCTCGATATCATATTGGGGCCCTGAAGCCATATAACACTGGTTATATAATGTAATATGTCTTAATAGGGCCCCTCCATCATATGCCACAAGTTTTGTAATTCATCCCTGATATGCGAAAGGGGCCCCTCAGTCAAATAGCATGGTGAGTGATATAGCATATAGGGCCCCTGAACCACAGGTTGTGTATGTTATTCATCCTTGGTATCGGAAAAGGGCCCCTCAATTAGGTTATATGTCATATGGGGCCCTGAAACAGGGGTTATGTTAGTCATCCCTGGTATCTGGAAGGGCCCTTCGATTAAATAGCATGGGGTATGATATGTCATATGTCTTAATAGGGCCCCTGAACCACAGGTTGTTATTCACCCTTTATATCTACAAGGGGCCTCTCAGTCAAATAACGTGGGATATGACATGTAAATGTCACATGTAGGCTACCCCTCTATCTGCTTCATTAGTGCGCAGGTCCAGGGCCGGTTCTGGAGGGGTAACAACGGGGGCGATTACACCCGGGCCCAGTCTAGAGGGCACGGGGGGGGCCAGAAAAAAATAAAATAAAAATTTCCCCCCACTGCAACACATACTGAAGTTCAAGTCAGTCTCTTCTGTTTGAATTACTTTTAATTGCTTCAGTATGTTAATACCAGAGGCGGCTCTGCGCCCCTAAAATGTCATCAAAAAGTTTGTGAATAAAATTTCCCTAAAACAGGTTAAAACATGTGTAGTCGCTTGACCTGTCACTTAACATCTATATCGTTTGATAAAATGTTTTGTGTTGGACGCTGAGCCTCTATATGATGATGATTGGTACCAGTAAGGTTGGACCTCTGATTGACAGCGTTCTGTTTCACGCATTGTTCCGGTTTGGTGCGGCTAGGCTATTAGCTCGGCGATAACGATAACGAACAACAGTGGGGCAGCGTGTAGAGAATTCAACAAATTTACGTTCTGCGTTGTTAACATAACTCAACAAATGAGCACGAAAAGCCATGTTTTTGTTCTCCACTGCATGGGTGCATTCATTGAGCCATTGTGAGTGTTTGTGTGTGTTGCCGCTTGTTGCTGTGTTTTGTGTAAGAGAGAATGGCACCACTACTGCCGCCCAGATCCCAAAACTCCATCCCGGGGGGGAGCTCGTGATTCCAACAAACATGCATGAAAAAATGAGCTGCGCATCTGCGTGCAGTATGGTGACGTAGCAAAGCATCAGATGGAAACCGTGCGGTGTCATCCAATCATCAAATAGTATCTTTCAAACCGAAGACAGAATTCATCTGTGTGCCAGCAAGTATATAAGGGCAGATTATTTAGTTTAGGCATTCAGACAGATTTTGACTTTGGTCGGAAGAGATGTATTTCATATGTGGATAGAAATGAGCGATTTCTTGGTTGACGTAAAGTTATTCGTATGATATGCGTTATATATACGTTTCATATCAGATTCTGTGTGAGTTATTTGTTCAAAAAGTGATGTTTCATGATATAGTATAGTTTTTAATGCAACCTTTGTACCGCTGCTGATTTGTGTGCGTGCGTGCGCACCTTGTTTTTTTTTTTTTTTTCTTTTGGGGGGGGGGGGGCTTTCTCGTTGTCTGGCCCAGGGGCCCCCGGACTCATAATCCGTCCCTGCTGCCCAGATATTTATGAGGAGCCACTCCATAAAAGCAGGGATGTTTAATCAATTTGTGGCACTGTAGTGATTCATGACTGTGTGTTTGTGGGGGGAGGGGGTGGTTATGATTAATGTGTTTATCATCCGAGGATAGTAAGTACGGACAGGAGGGGGGGTTCTCAGCTCACCCTCAGTACCGCACCTAACCTGCACCAGCATCCACACTCAGTGTTCCTCATGCCAGTTAAAAGTGGGGGTGTTTGTCACCTCTATCCCCAGGAGGGGGCAGTAGAGTTTCAGAAGCTTGATCATTGATCTTACAGCACAGAAAAAAATCAAGCTCTTAATGGACCCACAAACAATAAATCACCCATGCATTCATCTTCTAATCAGAGTCAATATTGCTAAAAAATATTTGCATCTAATGAGCTCAAAAATGACTACTGTGGCCTTAGGAGCAAAAGTTTTGTTCACCTTTTTTTGCACGTGATGTCACTGGCAGGACCGTAGGTAGAGATCTGGCTTGTAGACAGACAACCTGGCAAAGTATGTTAAAACTCTACTGGAAAAACAAACACTCCTTTAGGGCAGAAACCAAAAAATACATAAAACCACAAATGGCAGAATAAAAATAAAGTCTACGAAGCTTCATATAGACCATTATGGTAACATCCCAAAGGTTGTTGGTTCAAATCCCAGAGGAAAATGTAACCCTTCCCTCTACTGTAAGTCACTTTGGATAAAACCATCAGACAAATGACTAAAATGTCAGCCAAAGTAATTCAAGATGAAAACCAGACTGCAGAGCAAGGGTAGCTTACATAGGGAAGGCAGCAAAACACAACTGAAATCAGTGACCCCATGAGGGGCAGGAACAAATAGGAGTTGATTGGACCACACTTGATTGTTTGGAACCTTCTGGAAAGCTAGTGAATCTCCTAAAGAAATGAAAGTGTTTTGACTGCCGCCCTCTGGTGGACACTCAGAGAATTGCTTGGAGCTGTAACGTGAAGCTTCCAGATAAGTAAATATAAATAAATTCACCCTGTTTTCTGCTTATCCGGTTGAGAGTCTCAGGTGTGGATAAATAAATTAATTGTTATAATGTGGGAAATCTTTAGTGCTATCCGTGGATGAACCTGAGCTCCCCTGAATCTCCTCTGGTCAAAAACATCATGATGAGACTGTGCAGGAGCTGAGTCCTGGGTGGGGCTGCTGTCTGTGGTTCTGGTGGGCTTGGCTGGACAGCCAGGCTTGCAGAACTGCAGATTTATGGCACGTCAAGTCTGCAGTTCCGTACGATAACGGAAACCCAACTTTACTTGAGCTAAGAGGCCGTGATCTGCAGCATGGGACGCCCCCTGATGCCGGAATGTTCTCATTCATCCCATGCAGAAGGAGGCAGCTGCGGGATCCCTCCTGGACATGGATTTCGACCCGTTCAAGCCCGACGCCACCACCCCCATCGGGCAGACGCAGTCACCCCTGTCACAGGTGCGACCGTCGCCGTGTTCAGCACCTCACAAGGACGCCATGCAAGACCCACAACTTAAAATTGCTTAAAATTGACTTAGAGAGAATCTAATATTCAGATTTATCTATATAAGTATCGTATTTCTATTTTTTCCGGACATGAACATTACTGAATGACTGCTGCGCCCACGCAGACTCTGCCTTGGGACCTCTGGACGGTAAGCAGCCCATTCCTCTGATTGGCCAGAGATGGATCCTGAGGTCACATGACTAGGGAACAGGCTGCATGCATCCCACAATTCCCTGTGTTAACGGAATGTGCTGCTTCTCTTCCCTCAGGCACCCGCCGCTGCGTCTTCTCAGCCAGTGAGTAAAGCATGCATGTTGAGGGGGCCAGGGGCCGGGTGAAATGCAATTACGTTACTAAGAACCCACCCCCCCACCTCAGGACCAGGCCGGCGGCACCACCTGGATGGCGGACTTCGGCACCCCCGCCACGGCCTCCGACACAACCGAGAACCAGGCTGACGCCCCCCAGGACCCCTTTGCCGGGCAGGGAGATGGACAAGGGTGGCCCCCTGCAGACGGGTGGGGGTCTGAGGCGGCACCTGCAGCACCTGAGGAGGAGGTTAGGAGCTGGAGCCCCGACCCCACCCCAGAGGCTGAATCATGTGCTACGGGGGGAGGCGAGGCGGGGGCGGGCCAGGGGGTGGGCCAGGAGGCGGGCCAGGAGGCAGGCCAGGAGGCGGGCCAGGAGGCAGGCCAGGAGGCGGGCCAAGCACAGAACATGCCAGGAATCATATTCACCAATGAGTTTGGGCAGGAAATTGAGGACACCACTGAGGGGAGCCGGCAGGGCCTGAACATGCCGCAAGACGAGGCAGATGACGCCGCCAAGGGCTGGACCGTGAACGGGTCAACGTCGGAGGGCGAGCCGGCAGAGGAGTGGGGGGAGAGGCAGTACCAGAGCCAGGGCTCGGGGCAGGTGCAGCCTGAGGGGTCGGAGGGCTTCGTGCAGGATGACCGTGGAGGGGCAGTACAGAGTCAGGCAGAGTGGGATGAGGAGGGCCAAGCAGACGCCTCACAAGAGCAGGAGGGTCAGGCAGGTGACTCCTGCGACTTCAGCCAGCCCGCAGAGCTGCCAGAAGGGGCAGGTTTATCACAGGGTGACCCTTCCGGCCAGCAGGGTGGCGACAGTGAGCCTACCAGCACGGAGGTTCTCGACTTTGAGTCGGACCCGTTTGCGGAGACTGCCAAGGAAGACGGCACCGAGTGGGCTGGTGACCCTTTCGACAGCGAGGAGAAGCAGATGTGGCCTGATAACTGGGGGGCGAAGGCTGCCGAGGAATCCTGGGGGCCCGCTGGCACAGAGGAGGGGCCGGCTAACGGCGGCAGCTCCTCCACCGACACCCAAGGGGACCCTGCAGGCAGCCGGGGCGGCACCGAGGCCGGAGAGGACGGCTTCGCTGCACCCAACGGCACTGAGGACGGGGAGAGGAGGGAGGGGCCCCCGGCCAGCACGGGCCTCCCGGTGATGTCCGGATCCTCGCAGAGCCCTGGGAATGGTAGCATGGGAAACGTGTCCGGCCCCAAAGAGACAGAGAACAACAGCTCGGACCTGTCCGAAGACGAGGTCGCGAACCGCAGATACGGGAAGTTGTACCAGGAAGTAGAGGCGCAGAAGGCGGAGGAGGTATTCAGCGGCCGTCCCCCCCCCACACGTAGCATAGCGTAGCACAGACGAGGATCCCTCAGTCGCCCTCTAACTCCTCCGATGAAAAACCTCTTCTTTTCAACCAACCCCCCCGGCCCTACCTGCCTTCCTCCCCACCCGCTCCCTCACTTTCTCTTCTCTTCATCTGTTTTCTTTCTGTCGTTGTATGTGTGCTACCTCGACCTGACTAGGAGCTTCAGTGTTAACTGTGTCTTTCTGGTCCTACGTAGGTGTCCGACAATGCCTTTAACGGATTCTCCCAGGTAATTAGTCCTTTCAAAACTTCATGAATTCTCATCCCTCTCGTAAAAACCCACCATTCACTTAATGGAAATTATTATTTGCCGGCTGTCGCATTATTTACATGGAATATTACGGAAGTTGCGGTGCTTACTGCTGGGGAATATCGATAAGTCTGTAGAAAGATCCAGAATGAGCCAGCTGTCACTGTTCCTGGAAAAATACTTTGCTGTAAAGTGAGGCCCCTGCCATGGGTTATCAAGCTAGGGAAATTAAACAGATTCCCTTTGTGCAAAGACGTGGTACAAGTGTATCGTTATTATATAGTAACATTTTCCTTAATTACTTGTTAAAATCATGCCTTCATGTGTTCTAACCAGCCATGCTGTTTATAAGACCATTGTCAGATTTTCTTTTTTGTTGCTAAAAACCATGAAGAATGTTAAATATAATAATAGATCAATTTCCAACAGAGATGCCATTTCAGAGTGAGCGAGCGACGATGGGTGTAACTCTTTGTGCTGTGAAAATGAAGAATAGTCATAACAGGAAATGACATCGGTCTCAGTATTAATCCCTGATAAATCAGGATGTCGTGCTTCGAAACGGCCTTTTCGATTTCTATGGCTGCAGATTGATTTCGGTGTAGCTGTGATGTCACAGCAGAAACAGCACAAACAGACTTCACCATGTGCACCGACTCTGTGACCTTCATCACCTCCTAATTCCCCATTGCATGGAATTTTTAATGGTGTATTACCTTAATGTGTGAGGTTTTTTTCTTCCGTTTGTATGTCTTCATTAGTCCATCAAGTACCTTTGTAAATAATTTCCAAAGATTTATTACATTCTTTCTAACCCTTTGTTAATTAACGTGATATCAATATGGTATTAATGTAATATTACTATGATATTAACACCAGGGGCAAGTTTATTGATTCTGGGGACCCACTCAAAATGTCACAACACTTGTAGTGACTGTTTTTGGCCAACAGGGGGCCCCCAAACTGCATATTTTGAGTGGTAGTAAACACCACTGCTGAATATGATAGCATGCGTGAAGGTGAGAAGATGAATTTTATTGCATTGAGAAGCTGCCTACTCTTTACAGTGAGGTATTATTAATCTTTATTCTGATTGGATGGTCTTTGTCACATCCCTGCGCGTGGGGCTCTTATGCTGTGTCAAACTCTCTCCCCCATTAAGCTGGACTCCAGAAAGCCAGTTTCTGCTGGTACTAGCGAGGGTGTATCCGATGCTGTGGTGAGTCTACCCAATAGCCTCCTTTGTTAAGGGCTGTGTTAAGGTGATGTCACTGTGAGTATTTTTATTTATGCATTTATCAGTATGTATGTTATGTTTGGTTTGTGGTTCTGCAGCATCATCCGCGTGTCATATTTTACTTTTTATCTTTATGTGCATTTTTTGCTCGTATTGTTTTTTTTTTTCTTTGTTGTAGCTGTCGTTTGATTTCATGCCTATTCAGCGCTGAGTGTTCATTCTTTCCGCAGCGCTACTTGTTACTGAAATGCCAGTTAGCTGTACTTGCCATTTTTGTGCATTTTTTTTCCCTCCTGCTTTCTTGCTTGCGCTGTTACATTATGCGTGGCTGCCCTTCATCTCCTTCACATGCCTGTTTGGAGATTCATGCGATTACTGCCTGTGCTGCTGGCTGTTTGTAGGTCAGGCACAGAGAAGGACATCCTGCATGTATTAGTTACACTTACTGCCCTGCATTTGGGTTTTTTTTTTTTTTTGTATATTTGCTTACTGCATGTAGAGCAGAACCTGATTGTTTATCATGCATGCTGAGATGATGTAAGGTCAGTCTAGTCCAGGCTGACCTCAAGCTACTGGAACTGGGTCAGTTTGTAAAACTCACCGCTGGCTCAGTGGGAAGATGCTAATGATCTCTACTGCTCCTCAAAAAAGCCTGGGGCGGAGACCCCTGCCCCGGAAACGGAGGTGGGCCCCGAGCCCCAGCCTGACACTGCCCAGGCCGCAGAGAGCCCAGGGGCTGGTGAGGCCAGCCCTCCTGGCGACAAGGCGGCGGTGAGTTACCACCACCACCACCAGGGGGCGCTCTTGCTCCTCCCTTACGTCACGGCTGTCTGTGTTGCCCTCGACAGTGCCATCTTTAAGGCCACCGGTGCTGATGACACCAAGGTCTTGTCATTGTTTTCACTGCCATCGCTGTCATCGTGGGGATCATACTGCCCATATCTTCATCGTCAGCATCATCACTGCTACCAACATCAATGTCGTCAACATCATCATCATCATTATCATCGCAGTCATAATCAGTGTCATCATCATCATCACCATCATTATCATCGCAGTCATCATTCGTGTCATCATCATCGTCACCATCATTATCATCACAGTCATCATCCATGTCATCGTCATCGTCACTGTCATCAACCTCATCATCATCACTATCGTCAAAGTCATAATCGTCAACATCATCATCGACACCATCATCATCATCATCATCATCATCATCGCCATCATCATCACCATCATCATCACCATCACCATCATCATCATCATAATCATCTCCTGTCATGTCTGCCATCTTGCCCTGAGTCTTTATTTACCTCCTGACTGCTCCGGGATACCTGATCTGCCAGTCTTTCCACACATTTCATTCACTCATAGACAGTCTTGAAACACTTGCTTAATTCAGCAAAAATATTGCAAGTTTATTGGTTTTATAACAAAAAACATTTGTTTCTTTGTGTACAAAAATATATTTATCACACTCGAAACAAGCAGTAGTTTTCAGTAAAACATTAATTTCAAGTAGAAATAAACTGAGACCTAGATTATGGTTCTAATAGGACTGTTCTGAGTTAGAAAGTTAATTGAAAATTTGATGCTTTTAAATTAATAACACCTTTGCAATCACATAAAACACCAAACATTTGTGTTTATTATCCCTTTGGGAGCCAGTGACAGTTTCAGTTAATGACAAAATAACAGAACTCAGTCAGTCAGAAAAATTGTCAATAAAAAGAAAATATTTGTGCAGATATGTTAAACATTCCTTGTCAATGGAATTTTGTCATGAAACCAGAACATTTGCTATATTCCTGTGAGCACTGTATATCACTGTATATCACTGTATATCACTGTATATCACCATGTATGTACAGAACACGCCACACAGCCTCACCGCAGGCGTTAGAACATGTATCCATCATAGACACCAACTTAACCCTCTAAACACCCCAAGAATAGATGTGTGTGTTTCTGTCTTCACGTCCGCACCCTCCACATGGCCCCGCCCACTCATAGCCACACCCTCCACGTGACCCCGCCCACTCATAGCTACGCCCTCCACGTGACCCTGCCCACTCATGGCCATGCCGTCTGCATGGCCCTGCCCACTCATAGCCACGCCCTCCACGTGACCCTGCCCACTCATGGCCACACCCTCTGTGTGGCCCCGCCCCCTCACAGTGCAACCCGTCTGGTCCTGACTGCAAAATGCCATTTCATCCTGTCCCGAATGACGCTAGAGGCCTCCCCTCCTACCACAGCGTTGGATCTATATTATATTAACATTTCCCTGTCATTGCTCCCCGTTAAGGACATCCCAGAGGCAGAGGCGGGAGAGCCCCCGGTGAGTCCGGAGGCTGAGCCCACCGAGGTATGTATACATCCAACACACACACACTCTTCACTCACTGCCCAAACATGGTCGTCTGTCCCTAAAAGCAAACATATCCATGTTGTGTGGATGCTTTACAATTTCTCATGCTTGCCATCAGTTCATGTTGAGTGGGATAGTACATTGTTTTTTAGTGTTTTGCTGGTGATTGTTACAGTTAGCATCCTGTACATTGGTGCTTTACTATACTGTAAAACACATCACTAGGAAATAATGAGATTTCTTGTCCATCAGCTTTTTCTGCCTGACCATCAGCTTCCACTTCCTGTCCATCAGCTTCCACTTCCTGTCCATCAGTTTCTACTGCATTTTAATCAGCTTTTACTGCCTGTTCATCTGCTTCTACTGCATCTTAATCAGCATTTACTGACCACCAACTTCTCCTGCCTTTCCATCAGCTTCCACTTCCAGTCTACTGCCTGTTCATCATTTATTTTCTGTACATCAGCTTTCACTGCCTGTCCATCAGCTTCTACTGCATATTCATCAGCTTCTACCGCCTGTCCATCAGCTTCTAATGCCTGTTCATCAGCTTCTACTGTATGTTAATCAGCTTTTACTGCCTGTCCATCAGCTTCCACTTCCTGTCCATCAGCTTCTGCTGTCCATCAATCAACTTCTGCTGCCTGTTCATCAGCTTCTACTGCATCTTAATCAGCTTTTACTGCCTGTACATCAGCTTCCACTTCCTGTTCATCAGTTTCTACTGTCCATCAGTCTTCTTCTACTGCCTGTTCATCAGCTTCTACTGCATCTTAATCGGCTTTTACTGCCTGTCCATCAGCTTCCACTTCCTGTCCATCAGCTTCTACTGTCCATCAGTCTTCTTCTACTGCCTGTTTATCAGTTTCTACTTCATATAAATCGGCTTTTACTGCCTGTCCATCAGCTTCTACTGCTTATCCATCAGCCCCTGCTGCCTGCTCATCAGCCTGCAGTGCACGTTCAATAGCTGCATCATCATTATTGTGTTTTAATAATATGAAGCCTTGTAACCATACATAAGAAAGTGACTGTCGAGTGATGTTTGGGGAGGCCACACACTTCCTATTACATTTATTAACAAGACATTTGGTGTGATGATCCTATTTGTTTGTTTTATTGTTTTTTTCTTATAAAATAAATGAAGCATTTGCCATTTGCAGGTCATTCCTCCATGTAAAATCAGTGCTGACTAAACAAGCTCGTTAAACAAAATGCTATGCAACTTTAATGGAAAAATGCTTTTTGAATTGTTTTATTGTCCATTTTTAGTTGATGTTTTAAGTTTCTGGTTCAAAATATGCATTTAATTTGTAAAAATACTGCATTATCATTCTTGTGAAATGCCTTTGTATAATTTGGGATGCAGACAAGTAGCGTTCTTGTTTTTTATTATTTTGCTGGCTATATTTCTGGGTGTACTAATCAAAGTGGACATAGCAAATGGCAGATTCACCATCAATGACTGATTCCATAAAGTCGGATTGCACGTCTCAGTTTTAACTGGAAAATAAGCTTTGATTAACACATTCTGACTTTTTTTTACTGTATATCAATATAATATGGTGTTGGATACATATGTTCTTATTTTGTTTTATTTATGTTTTGCCCTAGTGTTTTATACTGTGCCGTACAAGGGAATGATCTTTATCTGAAATGACTGAAAGCCCTGGTTGAAGTGGTGATTTCATCGCTTCAGTGATGCATCAGGCTGGTATTTTAGTGATTGTTAGATTTATGTGTCAGTAAACACAAAAGCGAGGGGGAGCAAGACTTTTTTCCGGAAAACGTGGCGCCGTTCAAACAGCCAGCAGGCAGTCCAGTTTGAGCTGTGGGCTCAGGAGAAGCCTGTTCCCCCTAACATAGAAGGGGGTCTCAAAGGGGACTTGCGTCACACGACTGGTGCAGCCTGACATAGAGCTTGAGCTTGGTACTGCCTGGCGTCGAGGGTGAGTCACAGTCACATGATCAGGAGCAGTAGCCTTAGAGGAGGGGGTCTCAAAGGGGTCACTCATCATGTGACAGGCATGTCTATATGCATATACTATTATCTGAGCTTTAAAAAGATCCTAGAGGGAACTCTTGTTGTCCAACAGCATTATAAAGAGAGATCCCAACACAATAAACAAGTGAAAATATGGAAAATAAAGAATACAGTGCAGGTGAGGTAAAAATGCCATAATATAGCTAATTAATAATGTATTTTATCTGCAAGTAGTTTTATTTAAGATACACCATGAGATTCCCAGAAAATCGATGCATTCCGGATGCAGTCTTAGATAAAGATCTTATTGCTACGTGTTGCATCATGGAGGGACACTGAAAGGTGACCTAGCTTGTCTGCTCCCGAGGAACCTGGTGAGATGTCATTCAGAAGTTCATGGGTGTTTGGTTCTCGTACCCAGTGGCAACGTCCGTGAAGAGCTCGCCCTAAACTGTGTGACCCAGGCTGTGTATATTCCCCACACTCTGATCTCTCCACACATAGATGCCCCCAGCAGCCCCTGAAGAAAAAGGGTCCCCCAGTGAAGCCGGCCCCGTATCTGAGGCCCCCGCTGAACCGGCCGCGGTAACTATGGCTGCTGATGTCACAGGCTGCGGGTATCCCAGGCCACATGGGAGGGCGTGGCCTGTATGAGCCTGGCCTCAGGGAGGGCGGGGCATGTCTGGTCATGTGACGCTACCTGCGAGCCTGATGAACATGTGCCCCTCCCCCCCCCCTGAATATCCCCCTCGTTTTGACCCACTTTCCTGGTCACACTAATAAGAATTAAGGGGACCTTTTCCACCACTGTAAGTGTCCGTAACTTCTTTCCAAATGTAGGAAACTGCTCAATCTGTGGAGGCGGAGAAAGGATCCCCCCCCACAGAGACTCCGGTAACTATTTTTGACTGCCCGCCCCAGGTCCCCCCCCCAGTCCTGCCGCTAACTCATCAGCCCGCTAGCTTGGGATGAAGCTTGGAATGAAGCTTCAGAGTCCCAGGAGACTGTCGTGCTCTGATCATCACTGCCCAGTTTAACCCTTGTTCATGAACACTGATTCTTGCTGGGGCCCATTACGGCACTCAGTGACTGACAGCGCATGATAAGCCCCGCCCGCCATCGGCATGTCTCTCACATCAGGTCATGTAACTCTGTTTTCATCTATTTCATTCATTCTCTCCTCCTCCTTTCCTCATTCCTTCCTACATTCCTTTCTGTAGCCTTTCCCACTTCTCACTGTGAAGGCCTCTCCAGTCTCAGCAAAGTCCCACAGTGGGCCTGTCCGACACCGCAGTACACGGTTTGCCCTTTAGGGGGTGCCATTTCTCAATGGAGCTCCAGTGCTGTCGGCAGATATCTGCAGACCTTTCTGTGAACACCTATGGTGTCGCTGATTATATGGATGGTTTGTGTTCTGAGCCCATACAGATCCTGTATCTGTGCGGTGTTGTGTGTCCCTGCATTGTAATTGTAATTATTCATTAGCTTGCTTGAATTGTGCGTGAACCTTAGGGGAGCAAAGTTCAGTGAATGAGCATGTGAGGACACTGACTTAATAAGTGTTTTATCTATCACAAACGTATGTTTTCGTATCTTTAAAGTAGAAAGCCTAAGATTAGCATGGAGAAGCTGAGTGAGTCGTGTGTATTTAAAATGACAGATCTTGCTTCCAGCGCTCATTAGCACCGTAGCTAAGCTAAACCCAGCTGGGCTGTGATTTGGTTGGGGTTGCAGCTTGTGTGTCAGTTGCGTTTTCTGTAATATGCAGTCAGGGCTACAGGGAAAGAGCGGCGGGTCCCGTGTGATTTACCACTCGTGGTTTTACGTGTTTTGCTAACGCTGCTGTGTGGCGACCGATGAACTTGTGGATTAACTGACATGAACCCGAGGGAGGTCACCAACCCCAGGACCCACCCTGCCCTGCAAAAACACATCTGGGTGATGCTGATTAATTAGCCTCAGAGACGTTGCTTGCTGCAGAGGACCTGCTGGTTAATTCACACTCGCCAGTCTGTGAGAACATCCCACACCCCCACACCCCCCTACCCAGACACAAACACTGATGTGAGTGTCTGTCAGCTGCTGAGTCACTGCCTCTGGTCAAGGTCACCCTCCTGACCGTCCATGGGAGATTTCCATGCACCCCCACCCATATCCTGGGCATCATAAACGACCAGAGTCTGTGAGACCCCCTTATAAAGTTTAGAATATGTAATAACGGGAAATACTTGAATGTCACCTCAGTAGATAGAGACGTACAATTGCTTTAGTTACTTGTACTGTGAAAGATGTACCAGGTGGTATAGAAAAAATAAATAAATCTGTGATCTGTGGCACCAATCCACCAAACCACAACAAGCTAACTACATGTCAAGGAGGTTGGATTTCTTTACACTAAATCTTTATAAGGGGAAATGCACAGTGAAATCCAGTGGTAAAATTATTTGTCTTTCAGAGGGCAAGGTCGGTATGTGTGAAGGCTAATTTTACCACATCTAGTAACACCAGCTATACTAACTAGCCAGTCCCATCCCCTCCATGTGTCCTGACCGATACTGCATCATGCTCAGGTGTATCTCCTCTGGTATATGGCGCCACCTGCTGGCCATCTGCCAGAGTGCAGTGCTAAAACACTGGCCTTCATGTTTAAAATGATTTCTTAGACTGTAGCCCCTGGAGTTGAGGATGAAATCGATAAAGTTGGTGCTGAAGATGCTGAGGCTAAGGAGGTATATATGCTCACCTTCCTTGAGAAATTCTGCCGATGCTGCAATGTGAAAGTTTTTTATTCATAGCAATGACTTTAAAACTTAATGTTCAATCATGTTTCTGCTATTCTTCATTGTATTGAATGTTAAAGTGTGGCTCGATTTCTTCTTTGATTGGTTCTCTGTTCTTGTGACATCAGATCCCTGTGGCACACATAATTATGAGCAATCTGAAATGTACTATGAAATGTGTGAACCAAAACTCCATAATTTTTAGCCTTTTTTTCAGTTTTACCTACACAACAGACCTACTGTCATGCATTGATTATCGATTGATTACAGTAAATATTTTTATTATAATATAATATAATGGTAATATGGGCTTTTAGTATATGTTTTGTTTCCAAAGACATTTGCTTCATGTATGTGCTGGGTTATAAATCAACACTGCAGTTACATAAGTGGTCAGTAGGGGGAGCCAACAGAGAGAGCTTATACGTGTATCTGTGTATGGTAATTCTCTCCCCACCTGCCTCTCAAGGAGAAGATGCCCATCCCCTCCGTGGTGATCGAGCCAGCTTCCAGCAACGAGGGTGACGACGACCGTGACGGTGACATCACCTCGCCCTCAGCGACCAGCGACAACAGCGTGACACCGGACGGCCAGGCGGCCAAAGACATTGGGTCTCCCACAGCCTCGGACATGCCCCCTGGTTTCCTCTACAAAGTAGGCTTCACGGCTGTCTTGCTACTCTGGGGAACACTAAGGGTTTTTTTTTTTTTGCTATATAGGTATATATAACAAAAACATAACTACATATTTACAAATATTGTGTTAATGCTGAAAGTCTTCTGGAAGAGGTGGGGCATGTCACCACACACTGTGTCAGCTGATTGGCCATGTAAAATGAGGCGAGTGTGGGCGGGGCTTACATCTTCCTCTACTCACAGTGTTGATGTGGAAGTTGGCACGCTGTGGCTTACAGGTGGTACCGAGACCAGTGTCATTGTCATTTAAATCACCATTGGCAAAAGAGGATTTAATGTATGCTGCAAATTCACTGGTCCTGATTAACCAGGATTAATTGGCTGAATCAAACATCAACAAGCCAGTTACATTGCTGGCTCAGAAACAAGCCAGTGTTAAACCGCTAAAATGACCACTAGGTGGCAGTGCTGCTTATATTATGTACATAACTGCCATGTGTGAGTAAAGGCCCTCAGGGATGAATGCAGAACCCCTGCACCTTACACCCCTCTCTCTGGCCACCAGGTGGAGACTCTGCATGACTTTGAGGCTGCCAACTCCGACGAGCTGGACTTGAAGAGAGGCGATGTGGTCCTCGTGATCCCCACGGCTCTGGCTGAGGACCAGGTAGGGGCAAAGGGTGGTATCTAAAACCTACTCAGTATGACAAGATGGCTGCAGAGTCAGACTGACAGTGAGATTTATCCACACAGGGCAGCACTATCATCACGCGTCTCCCTAGCTAAGGGTCAAGGTCCATCCTGCTGCCCCTCAAATCAAATCAAACAAGTCCAAAGACACACAGTCAGGTGTGGGGGGGTGGGGGTGGGGTTTAACCTACCCACCTATGACCGCCCCCCCCCAAAAAGATCCTAAAAAAGAATGACTGACAATTGGCTAGTGCTGACTGGGACAGGCTGGATGCCCCTCCCAACCTTCACCAGGATAAGGAAGATGGATGGATGGATGGATGGATGGATGAACACAACAAGACATTTTGTACCCATGAGAAACAGGCATTATAAAATATGTATTAATATGTAGCAGTATCACATTTAAGAAGTGGAAACTGGAAAGGATTGACTCTTTTAGTGTATTTACATTTACTTATGTAGCAGATACTTTTCACCAAAGCATTCTACAGTGAGGTAATGTATGTGTACAAGTAAGAAACCTGCAGAATTTAGTAGCACAAATAGTTAAAAAAATGTTTTCTGTGTACTTCTAGGATGCTGGATGGCTCACTGGAATGAAGGAATCTGATTGGCTGCAGCAAGGGGACAAGGCTCCTAAAGGACTCTTCCCAGAGAACTTCAGCCACCGTCTAGAGTAGATCCCCCCCCTGGGATCTACTGAACAGCAGAGACAGGGAAGCCAGTGACCTCCAGACCAAAGCAGGCACTGGAAATGCACCGTGTCTCATCTTCTGAGAATGATACCCCAGTTTGGAGCGACCTGTCTTTTTGCGGTGGAGAGTAAACCCAGCTGATAACTAAAGGTCTTGGAGAGTCGTAGGTGGGCAACATGCTACGAAAGCGACACATCCCAAATGTAAGACGTGGTTTATGGCCACATCTGTAACCACGAGCGAGACGAACGAAACCACAACGTGTTTGCATATCTGTGTGCGCCGACAACTTCTCAAGTTCTTTGTTGGCGCAACGGTGACTTCCATACGTAATCCTTGTCTGTGAAAAGAGAGTTTACTTCTAAGAGAGAGTTACCTTATCTTCTTTGCACAAAGTGTTTTTTTTTTTTGCTCTACAGCATTTTATCAGCAATCTGTAGTGATAGATCATATTTAACTGTTGAATGTGGTACAGGAGGCTTTTTAAACGTTTGTTTTCAAACATAATTGTTATTGTTCAGAGTCCATTGTTAGTGTTCACCGTAGATTCACTGCTAAATGTGTTAGGCTAAGGTGATATTTGGCATCTTTGGTGTTGAATTTCTTAATGGACAAGATTTCCTGATCTTTTATGTTGCTCTTTTGCCAAAAAAAAAAAAAATATCTAAAAATATGGCAGGACTGACATATTGTTTATGATATAAAGTCTGAGATGAATATAATTCCTGGTTGGTGTGACTTTCCCAAACTGCATTCCCCATGTACGCTCTGATTATGGCGAATCGATATATCTTTACCTCATATCTACCGATACTTATATACACTATAGACAAAGGGTGTGCATTTCAGAGTGTTTATTGCTGAATAACAAACTTATGTCATGATATATTGGTCATTTTTTCTGTGAATCCGAGATCTCTGGGAAGGTGGAAAAGCAGATACGCAACTCATGTATAAAATACAATATCTACAGTCAGAGAATTATAACCATTATATACGCCCATTATAACAGCCATACAGTGAGGACCCACAAAAGAGCTTTTTTTTTGTTATGTATATATCCGTGTTTATTTATCTAAAGTTAATAAAGAATAGTTCATATTCCTCACCACTACAGCATTCTAGTTTCATTACAAGCAAGATATGTGCTTGTTCACTCCATTTTAGCAACAGCCGGCTGCACATTAAAATTAAAAAGTAATTTCAAAGTAGGTTAAACTGCATATAAAAGATTTTGATTGTTGTGATGAGTCACCTTGTTATTTTTGGTTCTTTTACTCCAAGCGTTACTGCATATTGTCATAATATTGTCCAAAATTCGGTCATTCCTGTTTCAAGTGAAAGTTCAGGTCTGATATGCTCAAGACTCCACTTGCTTGCTTTCCGTGTTTACAAAGTATGCAAAAGTCTTCATCAGCACCAAAATTCAAAGCCACCAGCCTTTCCCTGTCCTGCTTTTTATTCAAACGAAATTCAAACATTAGCAAACAGGACTGTAGTAGATTAGACTGAGTAACATTCGTAAACTCTCGCAGAAGCACAGCTAGTGCACAATTGGTATCGGCGTTGTGGGCCTAATATTTGTCTGGTAACACTTAACTTGAAAGGGCACGAATAATATAGTATTATACTATTACTTATGTATTAAGAAACCACAAACTAAGTCTTAGTTACATACTGATCTCATTTTAATTCATCAATAATTAATTGTGACGCATGTTTTATCTCAAGCAGTTGTATAGCAATATTTTATATCTCTTAAACCTCTGTGAATTACTGAAGGAACTACTAAGGAACTACTGAAGGAACAAGTCATGAATAACAGAAGTGAAATACTGATTTCATGTTTATTCATCATTAATGAATCGTGTCATCTTATCTCAAGTAGCAACTATATTTGTTAATCATTTGTTCATTATATGTACTTCAGTAGTAACTAAGTAATTACTGAGTAGTTTGCCCCGTCAAATGAAGTGTTACCATTTGTCTTTACTGGATTCCCGTTAAAATATCAGATGCTGTTATCCACCATAAAATCCCTACGATTTAATAAAACAGCGGATTGTACCGATTGAGTAAGTACATAAGTATTTTCTCAAAGGAGCGAGATGGGAAGTAAATTGGATATAGCCTGAGTTGATTAACGCAGAGTCCAAACTTTAAGATAAAAAGATCAAGATATAATTTTTCCTTGAAATGGCAAATCTGTCACGCCAGCAGCGGGCCGCGATCTGATTGGCTGAAGCAGCCGCCGCTTTTCTTCCTTCGCTCGAACCAGCGGACGGCGCAGCAGATGCCGCAGTGAGAGGCGACGCGCTCAAATGGCTCTCAGACGCGTCTTCTTCTCTGCGCTCTTCTTGTCTTTCGGTGAGTGTTTTTCGTTACAACCTGCTTTTCTGAGTATTTTCCTTGATTTACTTATTTTCATTTTTTTTCGGTTTTCTGATTTTCAGTGGCAGTACATGCAGCCAATCTGATCCAGAGTAAAACAACACTGACTAAAGACGAGGGGAAACCAGTAACTATTGTTTGCAGTAACACCCATGAATGTGATAGTTTTCTCCACTGGTACCAGAAGAAAGATGGAGAAATATTCAAGAGGATCATGTATGTGGCCATCGCTAGTGGCTCTCCATCAGCTGAAGCAGGATTTGAGACGTTTACAGCCTATAAAGTTGATGGTGGCTCATTCAGGCTGTTTATAAGATCGGTGAACCCAAACCATTCTGCCACATACTTCTGTGCTTGCTGGGTTTACCACAGTGATGCAAACTCAACACACAGTTCAGAAAAAAAAACCTCAACTTCTGCCACCTGTGCTCTTAACAGAACATTAGACTAAATTCAGTGCCTTCAAAAGTATAGAGACCATTAACTAACTCTCTCATCCTGCCAAATTACATATTCTACACTAACAGTTAATTCTCAAGATTCAAGAGATTTATTTGTCACATACAGTACAACATGCAGTGAGATGCATCTCTGTGTCGCCCTTATTTGGCTGTGCAAAAATAGAAAGAGAAGAGAAAAAAAGAAACAAGGTAAGAAGTAAAGTATGAGTAAAAAAAGAGAAATTACATTATATAAATACTATGGAACCAAGATATAATCTAAAATATACAGTGCAATATATACAACCTAAAATCAAGAATCTAAAATACAGTGCAAAAATCTGAATATAGTGCAAATGTGCAGTATTTGTGCATTCAGTGCAAACATACATAGTGTACAGAAAGGCCAGAGTTAGTCTAAATTGAGAAGCCTTATGGTCTGGGGGAAAAAACTCTTCCTGAGTCTCTCAGTCCTGGACATCAGAAACAGAACCTGCGGAACAGGCAGTTTGCGGGGTGTGAGGAATCCTTAATTATCTTGGTACCTCTGGACCTGCAGTGTTTATTGTAGGTGTCCAGCAGGGAGGGCAGAGGAGATCTGACTCAACGCTCGGCCGCCCTGATCACCCTCTGCAGGTCTTTGCGGTCCATAAAGAACAGCTCCCAAACCATACTGTAATGTTCATGGTCAGGATGCTCTCCACAGCAGCTGAGTAGAAGGTTTTTAGGATCGCTGGAGTGACCCTAAGTCTCCTCAGCTGCCTCAGGTGGTATAACGCTTCCTTGCTCTGGTGACCAGAGTGCTGACATGAGAGTGCCAAGTGAGGTCCTCAGTGAGCAGAACCCCAAGGTACTTGATGTTATCAACCCTCTCCACTGGAACACTGTTGATCTGGAGGGGTGAGAAGGAGCGCTGCTGCTTCTTGCTGTAGTCCACTATCAGCTCTTTAGTTTTGCTGACATTCAGACTGAGGCAGTTGGACCTACACCATATCGACAGGTTCTCCACCTCCCTCAAATAGGCTGACTCATCATTGTTGGTGAGTCCAATTACCACTGTGTCGTCCGCGAACTTCACAGTGACATTTTATTTCTAAACACAGAGACTCATGAGTATATTTTGTTAGAAATTTTTGTTGCCCTGGTTTGTTCCCTGTCCATCCACCCATCCTTCCATCCATGCATCCATCTTTTTAACCCTTTTGTCCCCTTTGGACATATTTTGGAATAACCTAGGATGGGGCGCCAACCCACCACAGGGCACACACACACACACACACACACACACACACACACACACACAAAATTATTGTCAGGTCTTATCATGAGTCATAGGCTGAGGCCAATTTTAATATCTCAGCATGGCAGGGGTATCATACTCCAGTCCTGGAGGGCTGGAGCCCTGCACATATTTGGATTTACCCTCATTTAACACACCTAATTCTACTTCTCTGCTAATTACCAACCATTTCTTCAGCTGAATCAGTTGTGGTGGACCAGGGTGAGATCTAGGCTATCCAGGACTGGAGGACCAGGGTGAGATCTAGGCTATCCAGGACTGGAGGACCAGGGTGAGATCTAGGCTATCCAGGACTGGAGGACCAGGGTGAGATCTAGGCTATCCATGACTGGAGGACCAGGGTGAGATCTAGGCTATCCAGGACTGGAGTTGGAAGCCCCTGCAGCAGGGCAATCATTTCTCACGTGTGCAAACATAGGGCTTCAACATCATGGGGACAAAACATTTATACAAACAGAATGTTTCAGCTGATTTTTTTAATAACATAAAGCGATACACATTAAAATATGCAATACACTGGCAAAACACTGCAAGAGCCTAACAGGAAGGCTCTTCAAATTGACAGCAGTATGGGGAATAAATTTGTATGAAACAAATGCAAAAACACAAGAGCATCCCGCATAGACACGGGACCACAACTTAAGAGCAGATGGAGAGAACTGGCCAGCGGTGGGGGAGCGAGTTGAGGTGCCCCCAGAACAGACTGGCCTGGAGGTGTTTGTGCAAGTTGACATGGGCTCTGATGACCAGATTTGAATGGGCAGCTCCTTCTACCATAGAGAAACCACACAGAAAAACAGGCTGTTATATATCATTCAATGAAAGTTAGGATGTTGATGCTGAACACTTCCTATTAAAATAAATAACACAAACAAATGTTTTACAACTGAAATAACTGTAAAACTGTTATCTGTGTTTTCTCAGTTTCAGGATACTGGGGCGAAGTACAGGAATAAATGAATGCGATTGGATGGAACAAGGATGAACTGCTCCGTGCAGTTTCGTAAAAATAAATAAAAAACAAACAAGCACGTTCTGCTTTTCCTGAGTTCATTGCATCCCTGGGTCAACATGGGAGGGGCTTGTGCTGCACTTCTTTAACCAATCATAGTCTTCATTGTATGACATCACCACATTATTTAAAACCAGTGTTTTCTGTTAAGCAGCAAGGTGCAAAGATTTGCAAAGTACTCGTTTTATTGTGTAAGGTTTTTGTTAAGGGACATGTCATAAATACAAAATATAAGAACATGTTCATCTATTTAATAAATTAAAAAAAATAAATAATAATAATAATAATAATAATAATAAGGCCCAAACTTGTGACCTTGAAATCACAGGTCAGAGGATTAGAGCACTTAGCCATACCTGCCACCTCCTCAATGGGTGAAAGCCTTTAGTTTGAAAATAAGAAAAACATTGACCACTGTGGTGATGTCATACAATGAAGACTGTGATTGGTTACAAAGATCAAGGGAGCCCGGAGATGATAGTAACATCAACTGACTTCAGGATTTCAGCCTCTTGGAAAAGTGCAACACAAAAACATACTGGTAAATTTTTAGGTCTACACCCATTACACCCATGAAAATAGACAACGCGCAATTCAAGTTGAAACACAATGCCTGGTTTTCTTATAGCAACTCGGGATAGAATACACAGATTTAAGAAAATAAGTCAGTCCATCTTACCATTCTTGTCACCAACGCCATCGCACTGTTCTGGCTCTCACTCTAACAAACGGGATCGTTGTGCCTGTTTGTGTTAAGTAAGACGCACAAGCTGATCCTACCTGTAATTCGTTAATACAATGACAGGAGTTCGCTTAGGCAGCTTTGACATCCCAATAATAATAATAATAATAATAATAATAAAATTGAGCAGGGGTGGCATGGTGTGGCAGTGGTTGGCACTGTTGCTTCCTACATCTGGGACCAAGGTTCAAGTCTTCAGGCCTCAAGGTTCTGTGTGTGTTGAGTTTGCATGTTCAGTTCATTGTAGCTACCAGATTGCCTGTAGTTATACATGCATGGCTGAATGGTGTGTGTGTGTGTGTGTGGGGTGGGGGGGATTTAGGCTCCTGACCTCCCGCGACCATGAACAAGACCAGCAGTCACAGAAAATGGATGGATAACATAGAACAGAAAAGGCAGCCATTTTACTTCAGCACAACTGTAATGCTGAATAGGACTATCCGCCCCCCCCCCACCACCCAAAATCCACCTTCCCTTATATTGCAGCTCAGTTCGACGCGCCAGCAGCGGGCTGCGATCTGATTGGCTGAAACAGTCACCGCTTTTCTTCCTCCGTTCAAACCAGCGGACGACGCAGCAGATGCCGCAGTGAGAGGCGACGCGCTCAAATGGCTCTCAGACGCGTTTTCGTCTCTGCGCTCATCTTGTCTTTCGGTGAGTGTTTTTCGTTACAACCTGCTTGTCTGAGTATTTTCCTTAATAGAATTGATTTTCAATTTGTTTTCACTTCTCTTAATTTCAGTGGCAGAACATGCAGCCAATCTGATCCAGAGTAAAGCGACACTGACTAAAGACTTGGGGAAATCAGTAACTATTGACTGCAGTAACACCCATGGATGTAACAGCTTTCTCCACTGGTACCAGAAGAAAGATGGAGAAATA